AATTTTTACCCATTTTAATATCCCTGTGCAATCTTTTCCTTCTCTTAGAACTTCACAATTCCGGCATCTATCCGATTGAAAAATCTCAATTTCCTCCGGCATCATCTACGGATTTCTTTAAGTTATTGCATTTCGCCAACTTTTCTCCTCCTTTCACAATATTTCTATATTTTTCTTTGTTTAGTCCTATGTGCTTATCAACCCGATCGCATGAACTATCAACTCAAGCTTCCCGTCTCCGTCCGCTAGACGAGGACACCAATGGCTTTGATTCCTTGCCTTCCTAACCAAACCTAGAAAACGCGAGCGAACCCTCATACTTCCCTTAGGGTAGAAATGAATCGGATTTAGATCATTTTTCATGGCAAGAACTTTCAATATGCATCTCCCTCTCTTTCAAATTCCTGAAATTCTCTCGCCGGCGACGGGGACTACCGGGGTGCTAACTTAGTTACTTCGAATAATATGGATGATATAATATCCGACCTAGGAATTCCCTCTTATTACGAGGTTTTCCTCATAGCTAGGAGAGGCAGATCGTCCTCTTAATCTTATACTTGGTTACAACACTTAATTTATAGAACAATTTTGATAAGGATTGAGTTTTCCCATACCCCCCTTACTTTGCCAAAACTGTGAAAATCTTTCAACTCTCCCTACCAGTCTCATTCAAATGCAATCATGTCTATGTCAAGCTTCTATATGCTTTTCGCATGGGTAAGGCTATGATTCGTTCATGGATTTCAAAATAAGGAAAACAAAAATGGAAAGGAAAAGGAAATCAAGAACTTTTGAAATCTAAATTGTGTTTGGTTCCTAAGAAAAATGGTGATGTTTGGTTCTTAAGGGAAAATAATAGAGAAAAATACCAAGTAAAATAAAAATAAAAATAAATTATTATTTAAGGTTTTGTTTGGATCATTTTGATTTCAAAATAAATTATAACGCAAAAAGAGATAATTTTTTTTATTTTAAAATAAATTCTAACAGAGAAAAGGTGGCATGTAACGAATAAAGCAAAATGTAAAATAAGATGGACATTTTATCCGTGTAACATAGAGGAGAGAAAAAAAAAAGAGAGGAGAGAGATACATAAGAGAGAAAAGAGAAGGGATGAGTGAGGAGAGAAAAAGAGACAAGAGGGACGAAGAATAGGTAAAGAGAGAGATAGAATGACACAGTTTCCTCATATTTTTTTAGGGAAACCCATGTCCCTTGTTTTAGTGTAATTATTTTTCCATATTTTCATTGTTTTACATAGTTTTTCACTTATCAACCAAACAAGAAAACTATTTTACATCACTCTTTCACTATTTTACATGCTATTTTCCTTGAACCAATCAGACCCAAATGAGAGATGTTCGCCTCCACATTTTATGACAAAAATTAGACATTTCTCGTTATTTTTATTGAATGGGATTGATAAGTACGAAACTAGAGAATTTGAAGCCGGAGGTTACAAATGGTATCTTGCTAATTATTTCTCGATCCTGTTTGTAGTCCTCAAAAGGCTTATGGTGTACTATTTATCATATTGCTTTTGGAAATAAAATCATAATCCTACAGTAAAGAAAAAATGGCACTTACCACATTTTTCTGTATACTTGGTCATGCTTGAGACTAGTTCTTTAGACATGAATTATGAATTGGGAGTTTGATGTCATCTTCACCATCTTTTTCTATAATCAGATTTTAGAATATTTTTATTTTCGAGTAAACTAAGGGGTCATTTTAACGAAACAAAGTGCCAATGGGGATTTTCAAAATTGATCTCTAAAACAAATTGAGGTACACATGAAGTGAAAACCTTGTTAATGACAACTTTCATCTTGTCGTTAATGTTTTCGTCCTCAAAAGAAAAATAGTCGATGAAAGTGTAACTTTGCTTCAACTGTCATTATATACACATTCAGAATATTCCATGATTCTCTAAATTGGAAAATGTTTGGACTTCTGAATAATTCTCTAAATTGGAAAATGTTTGGACTTTTGAAGAATTCGGTGTATGGGGTTTCAATTCGTTTGTTTTCATTTTTTCTCTTATGTCAAACTTTGTCATTTATTTCTCATTATGTACAATATGCGGGGAGTTATTTTGTTCTTACCTTTACGTACATAAAATATTTAAATTAATTGTGAGTTTATTTTTAAATATGAACTTTAATAGTTGAGTATTAGTTTGTTTTAGGTTCAGCTATATCTAAAATAACTCAAAATCTAATAAAGATATATATACATTAATTAAAGAATTAGATCTTTATTTGTTTTGTGTTTGATTAGTGTTCGGTACTCGAATGGCATGATATTTATAAAAAAATAAAAATCAAAAAATAATATATGCTGCCCATTTGCCCCATGGCCTCTGCCGTACACCTCTATATCTTCAGGCGTTGTTGTTGATGTTGATAGTTTGGTGTTGTTGGTCGTCACATCCAATCTATTGGAGATATTAATATTAAATAATACATTTCACTAAAAGCTTAAACGTTTAGTTGAGATGATCATTCTATATGGTATCAGTATTAAGCCAAATGAAAGGTCCTGATATGGAAGATTTTTTTTTTCCTTATAAGACGGAATTTTTATTTTCTTTTATCCCCACATGAAATTAGAATTCAAATAGGATAATAATAGTTTCAAATATAATTTGCTTGCACTTGAGGGGTCGTGATATTAATATTAAATGATATATTTCACTAAAAACTTAATTTTTTGGTTGAGAGGGTCATGCAACAACTTGTCCTCGACAAGGCCGTTGCCTTATTCATTATCTTTGTTATATTCTTCATCTGCTCCGAGCCCATTTGCTTCATCCTGCAATGCTTTTTCATCGACTCTGCCACCGCGCGCCTTGTTAGTTTGAGAAAGGTATAGATTGTTATTTTAAAATAATTTGATTAGTTTAGAGAGAAGAGACAGTGGAACTTAGTTAAAGCTGAAGACTTTATTAGTTTTTGTCGAGTTCATTCATATGTCTGCAATGCCGCAGTACGTATTTACAGGTATTTTTCATAGGATATTTCTAGAAAAATGGTAGATTAATCTTCCTCTACGGTTCTCTTTACAATCCTAGTTATTCTTAAATATTGTTATATATATATATATATATATATATATATATATATATATATATATATATATATATATATATATATATATATATATATATATATATATATATATATATAGCTAATCTTGAATCCTATAGACTCCAGATAATATATTACAAAATAGTGTGCTAGTGCTTCTTGAATATTCGACAATCGGCATTAATTTTAACAAGTGCGCTTCATGATGAGCCGCGTGACTCTTCTTCCACTTCTTCTACTCCGCCATCAGACTACTATTTATAATTATGTTTTCTACTAAATATTAATGTATCAAAAAAGGCGAAATCCCTCGCCACCAGGACCCTCATCCCTTGGTCCGACAAGTATTTGATAGAGGAATGTAAATCATGGTGACTCAACGGCCCGTTAAGGTAGTGGACACGGACGTGGTGCCCACAAGGAATCAACCCTCATTGAAGTTGAAATTCCCACATTGCAGCTGTCATAATTCGATCATAGGACCTTTACCAACTTACCACATCCGGAACCAGTTGAGCTATATCCATGCGGGATCTACTGAATATTTATATGTATATAAAATTAGGAGTATTTTAGTCATTTCTATTAATTCAATATGATTATCTCGATTAGGGAGCGGTGGACTATATAATATGCAACAACTTAGCAGGATAATTGATTAAAAAAAGGGATTATTTAACAAAACCTCCTCATACGATATTTACTATTAGAGGGGGTCCATTTTTTTTTTGTTCTCGATGAATCCATAATTTAATTTTAAAATATATAGTACAATTATACCCTCCACCAAACCCACCCATATCCCACGCCGTTTAACCCTAGCCACACAAGTTTTCTCTCCTTCACTCTTTCTCTCGGTCGATATTTCATTCTTCCCCATCCGCCCTCTCTTTCTTCCGCTCTTCTTCTCTCGGCGGAGGAATGAAGGACCACCATGACGTACAAACACAAGAGATGGCATAACCAGAAAAAATCGATGACGACGAGACTTAATCCTAACGACCGAATCTCGAGTAGACGAGCAGATCTTTGTGAGGGATTTCGTTCCCCTTTTTCTAATTTTTGTGCAGAAGATTGCTTGATGATATTGGTGTTTCGATCAGGTACATATTCATATTTGTGGGGAATTTCATTCCCCCCTCTCTCTCTATATATACACTAGGCAGGTGCACGTGCGTTGCACGTGTGATGTTAATTTTTCTATGTATGATATTTATATAGTACTTGGGTATATTATATTGTTGTTATTGTTATAATAGATATTTTTTTATTCTACTATTTTATATATGTTTAGCACTTATTACTATAGAAGTTGAATGTTTTATTTATTTATTTATTTATACTTGATATGTATTGCATTAATAATGGAAATATATATTAAAAATTTAGGGTAATAACAGTTAACCTCTTCTGGTTTCTGTATTTTACATTTTACTCCCCTTTGGTATCGATTCAACGGCTTAACCACGTGTGGTTGTCAATTGCCAGGCAATGTCTATTTTAATTATGTTGTTTGTATGTTTTTCAATGATAACTATGTCCTGTAAGGGTTCCTGTAACTAAACTAAACTAATTTTAAATGTATGTATGGTACTTGAACAATTATACTGTGTGTATATATATAAACCGCAGTTGTTCACGGTACACTTTCTTTTTGGCTCATTCACTACTCCACAAGAAGATATATTTTTTGCATAATTAATCACATCTGATTTTAATTTTAATATTTTTTTCTAGATTAAATCTCATATATTATATATTTGAAATTCAGATATATATGGAGAAACAGATTCTTGATTATGTATTGGTTCCGGTAGGGCTTGTAGTGATGGTGGCTTATGATAACATTATAAAACAATTGGAAAACACGAATAAACCTCTGGCTATTCACGATTCGAATTCTGGTGATCTGTGATTAAGATTATTGCAACTGTAGATTCGATCTTGCAAATTATTATTTATGATGATCAATAAATAACTGCAATTCTTGTTTTTCTCGAGTTTCGCTGTTGTTGTTCCTCTGTATTTCCTATTTGTACTGCTCTGTCAATTACAACTAATCATTGAGCTTGTCAATAAGACTATAACATCTTATTCTGCATCTTTGTATGAAGTCCTCGATTCTACAACTCCGTATTTTTCTCTCTTACCTGCATCTTTTCTGATATCTTGGAAATATACAAATGATAACCAAGCACCCATAGCTAAGTGGTGGCTGCATTTAGCTATTCGTTCTTGATGAATGGAGGCACGTCACCTCTCATAACTCTCCAAGGCCCTCGGTAAAACATTGGCTTCATTAAAGGAACAGATTCCCCAGGGTGTGTTTCCCAATATTTCTCCTAAGAAAAAACATTGAACCGCAAATCTATTTAGTTTTCAGTACCAGTATTCTGACAAGTGTAAAATAGGCAAACGCTTGTTCTCATACAATTAAACAGTAGATGAAACCATTCAGGAAATTATCTTAAGTAGCGTGCATTCATATTCCGATTACGGACTTAACCTTGTAGATTGAAAGACTTGTAGAGTAAGAGCTTCTAAAATGCAGGCAGCAGAATTCAATTTCAAAACACAATTCCGAATTATAACTATTTCAGAATACATATATATGTATATGAGATATAATGCAACTGAAGTTATAATGCAAAGAGCATAGAGACAGACAGACACATCGACAACACGTGTGGTTCTTCGTCAAAATCAGTATCATAGATTTCAATCGAATTCAAAATCAGCAAACACGAACCGAAGGAATTCAATTTTACAATTCGATGCCCATAACTCGGGTTTTGTTCTATTTTACCCGAATATTTCACCACCTAAAAGACCTAGGACTAGAGGCATACCAATCTAATACTTGCAGTTATAAAAAAAATCATTAATAGTGCCAAAAAGATTTCAATAATTCATAAGAAAATCAATAGAGCAAATTAATAGTCCCAAGCAAAATTCATTTTGAATCTGAAAAAAAGGTTGGAGAAACAAGTGGTTAGGTTTTACCTTGTGGAGTTGCTCGGTGATTGCAGCGCCTACAACACCGGTATAAAAAGCACAGATGTAGATGGTGACTAACGGAGTGAACGATTTGGGCCGCCGGTATGGATCAATCATATCCCAGAGAATCGTCCTCTCCCATTTCGTGTACACATAGTCAGCGTATTTCCTCCACAGATAGCTCGTCATTTCTCCTTTTTTATACCTATTTATTCTGAACCTGAGTTGACTCACTGTAACCAACGAACAAATTTGTTAGCTTCTGTAGAAACACATGATAAAATAAAGTTGTAGAGTGAAATATATAATATAAGGGTGAAATATAATATGCTACAGGTTTTACGTAACAATATTTTGCAGCTTATTTGCAGTACAAGAATGAGCAAATAAAGAAGAACATAGTCCTTACCTTGAATCTAGATGTTCCCAACAATTTAAATTTTAATTGCATCAGACATTGAGATCTGCCCATGAAAAATTAAATTGAATTATAAAATTTAATCAACACAAGAATAATAATATAAATATTAAAAATATTTTAAAATTAGCTATTGAATCCATTCATCATTACATGTACATAATCATACAATAGTTTAGGAATAAAACGAAAAATCAAAATTATAAAATACATTAGATCTACAAAACTAATTAATCTATCTGATTACTAACACTATTACATTAAGTGTAGAAGCCTCAATTTTGGTTTTTAGTATAATAAATGCTAGATGAGAATGATCAGTACCAGGACTTAATAATTGAAATTGAGATATAATATATCTCCCTATTTAAAGTAATCAAAGATTAAAACTGTAAGTGAAAAACAATAGTCACTCTCGATCCAAAACTGGAAGTAGAACATAATATTCATTCTCCAAAGCAATCCGAAACTGAAATTAAGACATAATATTGATTATAAAATGCAATCCAAAACTAAAATTGAAACCCAAGTCTCATACATTATTGACTTGATGATATGAATATTCATTCTCCGATCCAAAACTTCAGTATCATTATCACCAATAGCACATAAACAATTCCTAAAAACATAAAAATATCACTAAAGTCTTGTATTATATGGCATACTGTGAATGGAAATGAGTGACTGTTAAGAACAACCAAAATACCCATTCCTATATTAGGGTTTTTATCAAATAAAATATTAAACAAAGACATAAACCTATTCGTAAATAATGAAATTACAATGATTTACCTGGTTTGGTTTCATTCTACTGCCAGTTTAATTTCATATGTGAATAGGCAGATCTAGTTGAAGACGACATGAGTGGCGTCGCTGCGGCGGTGAGTAGTGGAGGATTGAAAACCTAAGAGGGAAGGAGCAGCAATTTGGAATTTTTGGGACCTTTGCATTTTTTACTTTTCCCAACAATCGGAGGCGACAATAGACAAAGATTGAAAATTGTGATCACTGTTATGGATTTACCATTATATTAACCATTATATCTTAGATCAGATGTGATGTTTAGGGGAATAATGTGTACATAATTTAACAAAGCACATATATATAAAATAATTTAACAAAGATTTTATATACATAAAATAATTTAACTTACCCTCTACAAATTCGTGCAGTGGCTTGTTCAAATCCTTGGGATTTATGAAGTCTGTGATCCCAATTGCTTTACCTATTAAAACAAAATTTCATAATTTATTGATTATTAATTACTCCAAGTGGATGAATATACTATAAGTACAATAAATTAAATGGCGAGTTTATTTATTTATTAATTTAATTTGATACCTTTAATAATTTTATCGGATTAATGTCAAC